CACTTATGCCAACTCTCTGCTTCAGAGAATGACCAGAGGCTGCTGCAGGAGTCAGCTGTTACCCCTGTAACACTCACCTTTAACCCAAATAAACAGCTTCGGCAGCAACTGTCCTCTGTTAGAAGGTAAGCTCCCTCCCTAACAACATCCTCTGTGGACTGCAGGGGTTCAGGAGGACAGCTCACCACCATCTTCTTCAGGGCAGTTAGGGATGGGCAATAAATACGGTCTAATCAGTGACAACTGCAACCCATGAATTAAGTGGTGGATATTTATAAATTATGCACTATGGACAAATCAAGGGATATTGAATAGGCCAAATACCTGATCATTGCACAACTTGGGAAGTGTAAGCAGCACGTCCCATACATTTACATTCCCTTACACAAATATATACACACCAACACACAATCACACATGCACATGCCTGGATACACAAGTATGTATGCCTATACACAAAGCTACACACACCTATGTACAGATAGACACCTACTGAAAATATATACACTCTATACACAAATATAGACACCCCTCCTCATAAACATCTAGGTATATGTATAAACACACACAAAAGGATATGCATATGTGCACACACACTTGTACACTGACCAAACCTACAGTACAGTTGTGGTCACCACATTACAGGAAGGATGTGATTGTACCTCAGAGGATAAAGAGGATACTTACAGGGATAATGCCAGGAATAGAGCATTTAGTGATGAGAAAAGATTGGTAAGGAGGTTTTCAAAATCAGAATTATGGATAGAGTCGATGGAAAAGCTATTCCCATTTGTCAAAGGAACAAGAATGAGAGGGCACAGATTTAAAGTGATGGGCAAAAGAAGCAAGGATGATGTCAGAAAAAACATTGAAGACAGCAAGTAGTTAAGTTATAGAATGCACTGCCTAGAAATGTGATGGAGGTAGGTTTAATGAGACATCCCCTGGTACCACAATCGAAAGCAGTACCACCACAGCGAAAATCCATTGTCAATTTATCTGACCACACCCTTCAAACGGATGAGATTGAAGTTCTCGGCTGAGGACTCAGTTTCTGCCCCAGCACCAACATGGACCCCGTTGATCTCATGGCAGACACAGAGGAATTCATCAGATGATGGAGACTCCGGGAATTCTTCCAAAATGTCAGCAGTGAGTCCAATGGGACAACCAACAAACCAGATCAGTTGACAGACAGATCCATGGGGGAGTGGGCAAAGAAGGAATCGAATTAGACCCCTCCGGAGGGCCGCTGCCCTAGGCTCAACAGGTATGCTCAAGCTGTCAGGAGATGTGTTAACGCCAGATTCATCAGCTGCACTCACAAGGTAGCGCAAAACGTCACCCAGGCTCAACGCAACGCCATCCGTGCTCTCAAGACCAATCGCAACATTGTCATCAAACCAGCAGACAAAGGAGGAGCCATCGCCATACAGAATAGGAAGGACAATTGCAAGCAAGTGTACCAACAACTGAACAACCAGGAACACTACAGACAACTACCTGCCGATCTGACCAAAGAACAAGTCCATCAACTGAACTGACTGGTCAAGACTTTTGATTCAGGGATAGTCAGAGTATCCTATGCACTATCATCCCGCATAATTCCTGCATAGGAGACTTCTCCTGCTTCCGAAGATACACAAAGCCAACACACCTGGATGTCCCATCATATCAGGCAATGGGACCCTGTGTGAGAACTTCTCCGGCTATGTCAAGGGCATCTTGAAACCCATTGTACAGCGAACCCCCAGCTTCTGTCGTGACACTACAGATTCCTTCCAGAACCAACAGCCCAGTTGAGCCAGGAACATTCCTTGTCACATTGGACATTTCAGTACTCTACACAACATCCCCACGATAACAGCATCGCCACAACAGCCTCAGTGCTCAATACCACCAACTGCCAATTTCCAGATGCCATCCTATAACTCATCCGCTTCATTCTCGACTACAATGTCTTCACCTTCAACAATCAGTTCTTCATTCAGACACACGGAACAGCCGCGGGGACCAGATTTGGCCCCCAATATGCCAACGTTTTCATGCACAGGTTCGAACAAGATTTCTTTGCTGCACAGAACCTCCGACCAATGCTATACACCAGATACACTGATGACATTTTCTTCCTTTGAACTCATGGCGAGGAATCACTGAAACAACTACATAGTGATATCAACAAGTTTCCTCCCACCACCAGACTTACCATGGACTACTCTTTAGAATCAGTCTCAGTCTTGGACACACACATCTCCATCAGGACAGACACCTCAAAACCTCACTCTACCACAAGCCTACAGATAACCTCACAATGCTGCACTTCTGTAGCTTCCACCCAAAACATATTAATACAGCCATCCCCCACAGACAGGCCTGAGCATACACAGGATCTGATCAGATCAGGAGGTACACGACTGACATGTGAAGGTGTTGAAGGATGCCTTTATAAGAATAGGATACAATGCTCAACTCATCGATCGCTAGTTCCGATGTGTCACAGCACAAAACCGTAATGATCTCCTCAGAAGACAGACATGGGATACGATCGATAGGGTGCCCTTCATCGTTCAGTACTTTCTGGGGGCAGAGAAACTACGCCATGTTCTTCACAGCCTTCAACACATTATCAATGATGATGAGCACCTCACCAAGATCTTCCCCACGCCTCCACTTCTCACCTTCAAACAACCACCAAACCTTAAACAGACCATTGTTTGCAGCAAACTACCTAGCCTTCAAGACAACATCGACCACAACACTATACAACCCTGTCATGGTAACCTCTGCAAGACATGTCAGATCATCGACATGGACACTACCATCACACGTGGGGACACCACCCACCACGTACACGGCAGATACTCATTTGACTCGGCCAATGTTGTCTACCTCATACGCTGCAGGCAAGGATGCCACGGGGCATGGTATATCGGTGAGACCATGCCGACGCTGCGATAACGGATGAATGGACACCGCGCAACAATTGCCAGACAGGGATGTTGCACACTTCAGTGGTCAAGGACATTCAGCCTCAGATCTTCAGGTAAACGTCCTCCAAGGTGGACTTCGGGATACACAACAACGCAGAGTCGCCGAGCAGAGGCTGAGAGCCAAGTTCAGTCCCCATAAGGATGGCCTCAACGGGATCTTGGGGTCATGTTGCAGTACAGGTGACCTCACCACACTATACACTCTCACACAAGCACACTCACACACACACACACACACTCTCACACAGATCCTCTCAAACGCACTCAGAGATAGTAAGAACTGCCGATGCTGGAGTCAGAGATAACACAGTGTGGAGCTGGATGAACACAGCAGGCCAGGCAGCATCAGAGGAACAGGAAAGTTGACATTTCGGGTCGGGGCCCTTTTTCAGAAAAGATCCTCTCTCATACACGCGCTGTCTCTCAAGCACACAAACACACACACACTCTCTCACTCTCTTAGAGATAGTGGGAACTGCCGATGCTGGAGAATCTGAGATAACAAGGTGTTTCTGAAGAAGGGTCCAGACCCGAAACGTCAGCTTTCCTGCTCCTCTGATGCTGCTTCTCTTACCCTGATGTACTTATGTAAGATACAATTTGTCTGATAGCATGCAAAACAATACTTTTCACTGTATCACAGTACATGTGACAATAATAAATTAAACCAAATCACTTTCTGTTTTGTGTTTGTTTCAGATCTCCTGCATCAATAAGACCATAAGAATTAGAAACAGGAGTAGGCCATTCAGCCCTCGAGCCTGCTCTGCCATTCAGTAGGATCATGCCTAATCCAACACTCCTCACATCTGCTTTCCTGCTCTTTCCCCATAACCCTCGATTCCTGACTGATCAAGGATCTATCTCTCTCAGCCTTAAATATACACAAGGACTCTGCCCCCACAGCTCTCTGTGGCAAGGAGTTCCAAAGGCTCACAACCCTCTGAGAGAAGTCTGGGGCTGTTTTCCCTGGAGTGTCAGAGGCTTATAGGGACTTATAAAATCATGAGGGGCATGGATAGGGTGAATAGTCAAGGTCTTTCTCCCAGGGTATGGGAATCCAAAAGTAGTGGGCCTAGGTTTAAGGTGAGAGGGGAAAGATATAAAAGGGATTTAAGGGGCAACTTTTTCATGCAGAGGGTGGTGCCTGTATGGAATAAGCTGCCAGAGGAAGTGGAGGTGGCTGGTACAATTACAACATTTAAAAAGCATCTGGATGGGTACATGAATAGGAAGGGTTTAGCGGGATATGAGCCAAATGCTGGCAAATGGGACTTCATTAATTTAAGATATCTGGTCAGCATGGATGAGTTAGACTGCAGGGTCTGTTTCCATGCTGTACATCCCCAAGACTCTAAGAAGAAATTCCTCATCACAGTCTTAAATTGGCACCACCTTATTTCTGAGACTGTGCCCTCTGGTCCTCGACTCTCCCACGAGGGGAAACATCCTCTCAGCATTTCCCCTGCCCCTCAGAGTTGTTTTGTTTTATTTTACCATCCTTAGTGGGGTGGCCAATGAAATATTGGCACAAATGCCAGCAGATTCCACGCTGAGCAGGCAATTCCCAATCCCTGGGCCATTGAGCACGTTCAGTGACTGGGGGTGGGGAGTATTTAAGACTGTAAGAAAATTGAATTAAAAAAAAGGTGAACTCAGCTGAGCTAAGCCTGTGTGAGTACCGAGATATCTCTCCCATTCAGGCTGCAATAAATATACTTCTGTGAACGATTTGAAACCACTTGTTCACATCAGGTTATGTAATTATCAGCGATGAATAATTCCAGTTTAATATGATCTGCTTGAACGTGTCTAGGTGGCTGGTTTTTCATTCTCTCCCTCTCTCTCTCTCTCAGACAAGGCGAATCCCTCGTGGAGTTCAGTGGTCTCCCTTTCTGGCTCACCGTCTCCTTGATTCGGTCGCTGTTTTCCCGGGACTGGGCGGATTCAGGGGCTGGAGAAGAGTTACTGATTGAGCTGCTCACCCTCTCCCCAGGCTGCAAACTGGAGGCACAGCGACAGGGTGAGAAACCTTCCCCACGGGCAATAACCGGCAAAGGCGAAAGAGTTTACAGGGTCAGGGAAATAAACAGTGACGTGGTTCTGAGGCACAGAGTGTATAGTCGCTGCTAAAATACAACCTCGGAGACATCAGGCAGAAGAGGCACAAACGGCGACAGAGAGAGCCAGAGCGAAATGAGACAGAGAATGAGGGACAGAGGGAGGAAGAGAAAGGAATTAGCGAGAGAATAACAGGGACAAAGAGAGAGAGAGGGACAGAATGAGAAGGATAATGGGGGAGGGAGAGAATGAGAGGATTAATGAGGGAGGGAGAGAATGAGAGGATTAATGGGGAGGGAGAGAATGAGAGGGATACTGGGGGAGGGAGAGAATGAGAGGGATCGTGGATGAGCTAGAGTATCACAGGGAGAGAGAGAGAATGAGATATAGAAGGACAGACAGACGAGGAGAGAATTGGAAATTAACAGGGACTATGAGCAAGAGTGAGAGAGAGGGATTGCACATGGAAGGGAGAGTATTGAGGGGGAGAGAGATTGAAAGAATGAGAGGGAAGACCGAGAGAAGGAGAGAGAATAATAGAATAAAGGGACAATTAGAGAGAGAAAGAGGGATCACAGATGCAAGAGAAACAGTAATACGGGAGGGATGAGGGGCAGAATGAGAGAGAGAGAGAATTTGAGAATGAGAGAGACCGAGAGAATGAGAGAATAACAAAGGGACAAGGAGAGTGAGAGACTGAGAGGAATAGAAGATGGGAGAGAAAATTACAGGAAGGGAGAAAGAATGAGAGGGTCACAGATGAAGGATTGAGAGCATTACAGGGATGGAAACAGGCAGGAAGTGAAAATGTTTATTCTAGGGTTAAAGGATGAGAATCCAGGCAACAGCGAAATATTTGAGGTGGCGGCCAGGAAATGAAAGAGAAAATCAGGGTAACCCAAAGTCTCTGAACTGGATCCTAGAGTCTCTGGATCAGATCCCAGGGTCTCTGGATCAGATCCCAGGGTCTCTGAACCAGATCCCAGGATTTCTGAACCTGATTCCAGGGTTTTCCAACCAGATCCTAGGGTCTGTGAACAGATCCTGTGGTTTAATCCATAGGACCTAACCTAAATCCTGGTGCTTTAACCCAGAATTCCTGATCAGGATCTAGAATGCCCTGTTCTGAATCCATAGGTTTCTGATCCAGATTCTATTGTAACTTGGGGTTTTGATCTGGATCCCAGGACAATAGCCCAGACTCTCAGAACTGGAGCCTGGAATCTGAATGATATCTCGAGACTTAAACCCAGAGTCTGTGATCCAGATTCCAGAGTATGGCTCTTGGAGTCTCTGATCAGGATTCCTCTGATCTGGAATCTGATCTGAATCCCAGGCTATACATCCAGACTCTCTGATCCAGATACAAGAGTGTAATCCCAGAGTCCCTCATCTGGTTATCAGTCCTTGATCTGGCCTCTGATTCTAATATCACGCTTTAACCTGGAGTCTGGCATATTGAGATTTCACAGTGTGAAGCTGGAGGAACACAGCAGGCCAGACAGCATCAGAGGTGCAGGTAAGTTGACATTTTGGGTCAGGACCCTTCTTCAGAAAATTCAACTTTCCTGCCCCTCTGATGCTGCCTGGCCTGCCATGTTCCTCCAGCTCCACACTGTGTTATCTCAGACTCCAGCATCGGCAGTTCTTACTATCTCTGGAGTATTGTGTGCAGGTTTGTCTGAGGAAGGATGTTCTGGCTGTGGAGGGAGTGCAACAAAGATTTACCCTGGATGGCACAACTAATGTATGAAGAGAGACTGGATCAGTTAGGACTATATTCACTGGAGTCTAGAAGAAAGAGGGGGAGATCTCATAGAAATTGAGTTAATTCTAATACGACTTGACAGGGTAAACACAGGAAGGATGTTCTCGACAAGGAACCAGAGGTTTTAGTCTAAGGATACAGGGTGGGCCATTTAGGACTGAGATGAGGAGAAATGTCTTCACCCAGAAAGTGGGGAGCCTGGGGAATTCTGTGCCACGGAAAGTGGTTGAGGCCAAAATAATGAATGTTTCCAAGAAGGAGTTAGATATAGTTCTTGGGGCGAAAGGGATCAAAGGGTGTGGGGGCAAAGTGGGTACAGGGGATTGACTTGGATGATCAGCCATCCGAGCTGTCCTGATATCTCCCCAACTGTCTCGTTTACCCCTGGGCTGTCCTAAACTCCACTCCCTGAATCCCTCCTGGACTGCCCTGTTACCCTTCTCCTGCCAATCTCCTGAATTTCCCCAAATTCCACCAGACTGCCCCCTGTTGCAGGTCTTATTGGGTTTATTCTGGGGTGGAGTCTATCTGCACTGATGCTCCACGTTATCTGTTTTATTTCTGTAGTTATTTCCACCCCCTGCCCACCAGGGAGTGCGTCAGCCTTGCCCTCCTGGGGATGAGGGCCCCAAGCCAGGATCCCAGGGGGATGGGGGAAGAGGCCGAGCTGGATGTGACAGCAGACGCTGAGATCCGGGTGAATGTGGGAGGCCTGAAGAGGAGCCTGAGGAGGGGCAGCCTGTTGCGGTTCCCGGACACGAGGCTTGCCCAGCTGCTGAGGTGCCGCTCGCTCGACTCCATCCTGCAGCTGTGCGACGACTACGACGGTGAGGAGTATTACTTTGACCGCAACCCCGCGCTCTTCCCCCGCATTGTGGATTTCTACCGCACCGGGGAGCTGCGGGCCACCGGGGGCAAACACTGCATCTTCTCCCTGGGCCAGGAGATCGAGTACTGGGGCATTGGGGCGGGGAGCCTGTCCAGGCTTACCCCGGGGGACGGCGACGAGGATGGGGACGGCGATGGGGCCAGTGAGCTGGGCAGTAGCAGCTCCTCCCTGGACGAGGTGCTCAGCTTCTACCGAGATGCTGCCAGCTACGATAGGCAGAAGCTGGGTAGCTGCCGCCGCCGCTTATGGCTCATGCTGGAGAACCCGGGTTACAACGCCGCCAGCCGCTGCTACAGCGCCATCTCCATCCTGATGGTCCTGAGCTCCATCACCGCCATGTGCGTGCACAGCATGGCGGAATTCCAGCGGCTCGGCCCCCACTTCGAGGCCCTGGAGCATTTCTGCATCGCCTGCTTCACCCTGGAGCTGCTGGCCAGGTTGCTGGTGTCACCGGGTGTGGGGCACTTCTTCCGTCGGCCCCTCAACCTCATCGACCTCATGTCCATTCTGCCCTTCTACCTGACCCTGCTGGCCAAGCTGGCAATGGAGAGCAGCCCGGCCCTGGCCAACTTGGGCCGGGTGGTGCAGGTCCTCAAGCTGATGAGGATATTCCGTGTCCTCAAGCTGGCACGTCACTCCACGGGGCTCAGGTCGCTGGGGGCCACCTTAAAGCACAGCTACAGGGAAGTGGGCCTGCTCCTGCTCTACCTATCTGTTGGAGTATCCGTCTTCTCTGTGGTGGCCTACACCATTGAGAAAGAAGAGAATTCTTCCCTGGCCACTATCCCCTCCTGTTGGTGGTGGGCCACAGTCAGCATGACCACCGTAGGCTACGGCGACGTGGTACCCATCAGCATCGGGGGCAAATTGACGGCGTCAGCCTGTATTTTGGCCGGGATCCTGGTGGTCGTGCTGCCTATCACCCTCATCTTCAACAAGTTCTCCCACTTCTACCGGCGTGAGAAGAATCTAGAGAATGCCATGAGGAACTGCGAGTTTGATGAGCATCTGGCTCAGCTGCCTCTGCTCAATCTCCGCGACTACTATGCAGATAGAATGAAGTCGCTGATGGTCAGTCTGAATAACATGAGCAGAGGTACACCCAGCGAGCACAGTGTGAACTCAATACATTGAATCCAACCCTGAACTGTTGAGTAACGTGGCGAAGATTAGAATATACCAGATATCCAACGATCACAAACCAAACACTGCATTTAATACTCTTGGCAACCGGTATCCTCAACCTCAACACTGCTATTGTACACAGTATATACAGTGGCTACATTAAGTAACACGGACATAAAGGGAGAGAGGGTGCAGTCGTTGTAATCTCGCTGGATTAGTATTTCTGAGGCTGCAGTTAATATTGCGGGGAGGTCCACACAATTCCAACTCTGAAAGCCACCGGAATTTAAATTCAACTGATCAACCTGGGATATAAACTCTCAGTAATTCTAACCATGAAACCAGAATCAATTGTCATTTTAAAAAAAAATCCCACCTACATCACTAGTATATCCTTTAATGAAGGAAATATGGTGTCTTTATCTGGTCTGGCCAATGCAGCAAGAGGTTGACTTTGAAACAGCCCTAGCAATCCATTCAGATCAAGGGCAATTAGGGATGGACAACAAATGCTGGACTTCCCAGAAGAATTAAAAACAAAGACAGTAACAATTTGCATTTATGTGGCACCCTTATTGCTGTGAAATGTCTCAAGGCGTTGTACAGGATTGTCATCAGGCAAAATGAGATACTGAGCTACATAAGGAGATATTTGGGCAGATGACCATCAGCTTGGCCAAAGAGGTGGAGTTTAAAGAGTATCTCACTGGAGGAAAGGAGGACAGAGAGGATTAGGGAGTTGACACAGTGACTGTGGTGGAACAATTAATTTAGGGGACAGACAAGAGGCCGACATCAGCAGAAAGTGGGAATACTGGAAGATTTCTATTTATAGACTTAGGGAGTGACAAGACTGTGAAGTTTGAAAGACAAAAATGAGGACTTTAAATATGAACACCATGAGCCCAAATTTCAACCTTATTTTGTTATTAAATTGCAGCTAACCTATATTGAAACTACTGACTATAAGTCTATTTTTTTTGACATCCCTATTTTCATTATACTGTGCTGTTGAGATCTATGTAGCTTTAGGGGATCTGAGCATTTTAAGTTCTCTAAATCACTGCCCAGAGAATAATTAGGTACTTAAATAAAATGGTATTCTATAATATACCAGATGTAACTCTCAGGGTCGGCACAGTGGTTAGCACTGCTGCTTCACAGTGTTAGGAGCCTGTGTTTAATTCCACCCTCGAGCAACTGTGCCTGGAGTGTGCACATTCTCTCCGTGTCTGGATTTCTAGTGGATGCTCCGGTTTCCTCCCACGGTCCAAAGATGTGCAGGCTAAGTGGATTAGCCATGCTAAATTTTCCATAGTGTTCAGGGATGTCCAGGCTAGATGGATTTGTAAATGCATGGTTACAGGGATAGGATAGGGGCTAGGTTTGGATGGGGTGCTCTTCGGAGGGTTGGTGTGAACTCGATGGGCTGAATGGCCTGCTTTCACACCGTAGGGATTCTATGATTCTAACTCATGCTGAAATGTTCCTGGAGAGGAGATAAAACTGTCCAGATTACTGAAAATATACAAACTGCATTACACTCTACACATCTTTGAAATAGTGCCAGGAGATCTGGGCCTGGTTCTTGGAAATGAGGTGGGCGAAGGGGGGTGATATTTAGGCAATAGTGATCATTGTATCAAACAATGACAGAGAGTAACAATGGTCAATCCAGACTAAGGGAAATCAGTTGATGAACAGCTAATTTCAATGGGTCAAGAACAGAGGTGGGCTGGATAGACTGGAATGAAAGGTCAGTGGGAGAAACTATAGCGGAACCAATGGGCTAACTTCAAAGAGGAAATTGTTCAGGTCCAGTCAAGATAGGTACACTCGGAACAGAAAGGTACAACAAACAAATCCAGAGCTCCTTGGATGGTTCAAACAAGATAGAATTTAAAATTAAAACAGGAAAAGTGTACTTAAGACAGGTGATAGGCAGATAATACAATTGGGAACCAAGAGGAAGAGAGAAGTATCACATGGGAAAAAAAAAAGCAGATTACAGAATCAAAGAGAAATTCTGAGAAAAGACTGGCAGCCAATATGAAGGGGAATTCAAAACTCTTCAGTAGGTTTATGAAAAATGTAGTAAAAGTGGTGATTAGGATCCAGAAAGGGGACCTGAGGACATAGCTGAGATACTAAATGAATACTTTACATTTGTCTGTACCAAAGGGGGAGATTCTACACAGGTCATGGTGACAGAGAAAGAAACTCTTGTCACTAGAAGGGTTCAAAATTCATAAGAAGGAAGTGTTAGGTTGATCATTGGTACTTAAAGTTGGAACTGGATTGGATGCATCCGAGGATTTTGAAAGAAGTCAGGGTAGACATTGCAGGACCACCAGCCACAATCTCAAGGGTAAACACCTGAAACGTTGACTGCTCCTTTCCTCCAGATGCTGCCTGGCTTGCTGTGTTCTTCCAGCCTCTTGTTTGTCTACAATCTCAATCTTTCCTGGACTGCATGATGCGGATGTCCCAATGTTGGAGTGTTGGACTGGCACAGACAAAGTCAAGTCATACGACACGAGGTTATAGTTCAACAGGTGACGAAGGAGCAGTGCTCCGAAAGCTTGCAATTTCAAATAAACATGTTGGATTATAATCTGGTGTTGTGTGATTTCTGACTTTTTCCCTGGGCTCGAGGGTGGTGTCAGAAGACTGGAGGATTGCAAACATTACAGCCTTGTTCAAGAAAGGTTGTAAGGATAATCCCAGCAATCACAAACCAGTTAGGTTAACTTAAGTGGTGGGGAAGATTCTAGAAGGAATTATTCAGGGTCAAATTAGCAGTCACATTGATTAGGAAGAGTCAGCATGAATTTCTAAAGAGGGTATCATGGGTCACTAACTTGCTGGAGGTTTTTGAAGAGATAACAGAAAGAGTTGGTGAGAGTGATGCTGTTGATGTGGTTTATATGGATTTCCAGAAGGCATTCGATTTAGTGCCACATCACAGACTTGTGAGAAAAGTTATTTAATCTCGGTATAAAAGGCACAGTAGCAACATGGATATAAAATTGGCTGAGTGACTGGCAACAAAGTAATGGTTAATAGATACTTTTCGGGCTGGAGGAAGATTTATAGTAGAGTTGCTCTGAGATTGGTATTGGAACCTGTTTTTCCTGATGCATATTAATAACTTGGATCTTGGTGTACAGAGACAAGTTAAAGTTTACAGACAGCACAAAATTTGGAAGAATTGTAAATTGGGAGGAGGACAGTGTGGAATTCCAAAAGAAGATTGACAATTTGGTGGACTGGGTGGATAGTTGGCAGATAAAGAGAAGTGCCAGGTAATGCACTTTGGTCAGCAGAACATTGAAAGACAAAATACAAAATAGGTGACGCAATTCTAAAAGAGGGAGCAGGAGCAGAGGGAGCAGGGTGTATATGTGCACAAATCATTGAAGGTGGCAGGACAGATGCAGAGAGCAGTGAATAAAATGTACACTATTGTGATCTTTATTAACAAAGGCATTGAGTACAAGAGCAAGGAGATGATGTTGAACTTGTACAAGACATTTGTTAGACCTCAGTTGCAGTATAGGCACCATACTATAGGAAAGATGTGAATTCATCAGAGATAGTGCAGAAGAGCGTTTATAAAAGTGGTTCCAGAGTTGAGAAACATCAGTTATGAGGATAGATTTGATGGAAGGTTTCAAAATCATGAGAGGTTTGAATAAATTAGATATAGAGAAGTTGTACCCACTCGTAAAAGGATCAAGAATGAAGGCAGAAATTTAAAGTGATTTTTGCAAAAGAAGCAAATGGGATGTGAGAAAAGATTATTAACACACAGTGAGTGGTTAGGACATGGAGTACACTGCCTGGAGCAGGTTCAATTTGAAATATTCAGGAGGGCATCGGACGTTTATTTGGATAGAAACAATGTGCAGGGTTATGGGGGAAAAGGCAGGAAAATGGTGCACAGTCATGATGCACATTTGGACAGCATAATGGGCCAAATAGCCTCGTCCTGCGCTGTAAACATTTTGGTCATTCCTCTGTGATATGCACATTGGAGAGGGTTGACAAGGCGTTGGTTTAATTTCCCTGCCAAAAGACAATACTGTGCCAAATTACAGCATCAGTTAGATTATTGCTCTCAAGAGTGGGACTTGAACGCACGATCGTCTGACACAAATGGCTGAATGGCCTCTTTCTGTGCTAGAATCATTCTAAAAGCAAATGAGCTGCCACCCATTGAGTTACAGCTGGCACTGGTTAAGGAGAATATCACTTCTGCTCCCTCCTCCCCCTGTACTGTAAAACATTTTAGACTATAGAACAGACTCAATGCGTGCTGCTATCAATGCCCTGTATAAAAGTCTTAACCGCTGTGATACATCAAGGACTGTGCTTTAACACAGAAAGAAAATAACCTTTTTCCATTTGCCACAAGAAAATCAAAAAGGCAGCCGATTGAAGACTATAAATTCTGAATCAATATCTGTTGTCATTTTTGATGTGAAATTTGATATACTGCATTAGTGACTGTGGGAGAAAAAGAATTGCATGTCAAAGTTTGGATTTTAAATTGCATGAACTGCCTGGAAGGTGTGTTACTGAAAGAGGCATCAAGCTTTGCTGCTAACATTAAATTTAAACAATAGATTGTGAATCTTTTGAAACAGTTGACTATGATTTTGCACCATTCATTGCAAAAACAATCTGGTCTTCCGCAGGAATTTCAATAAAGAATGCAATGACCAAAATTTAACCAGGCGGGTTCATTTCATCCCGATTTAGGTGGGGAATAAAATGTTCACATTTCGGGTCCGGTGACCCTTCCTCAGAACTGAGGAAGTTCTGAGGAAGGGTCACCAGACCCGAAACGTTAACTCTGTTTTCTCCTTCACAGATGCTGCCAGACCTGCTGAGCTTTTCCAGCAACTTTGTTTTTGTTCCTGATTTACAGCATCCGCAGTTCTTTTGGTTTTTAATAAAATGTTCACTCTCTCTTCAGCCTTTGTTCACAAGTACCACTGAGTAGGTGACATTTTCACAGTAAAAGCAAAATACCATGGATGCTGGAAATCTGAAACAAAACATGGAGATTGCTGGAGAAACTCAGCAGGTCTC